AGTTTTCCAAATTTGGACATTTTTAGATTACTAACATGAAATTACCTTGAAGCACATAAATATTTAAGCAGGGATAGTTTACCTTTTCTGGTGGGTGTATAATAAACAGTTTAACCATCATCTATATACAGGCTGTTTTGTTCTCCATCTAAAGAGACAATCACCTTTTATCCTTTTCCTTTTTTCCCTTCATTTCAGTGCTATTAGGAAACTATTCACAAGTGCACCCCTGAACAATACCATGCAGTAATTATGACTAAATGACAAAGAGATGCGAACAATTACCGAGTCCATTTTGAAACCCTACACTAATAAAGTCATTAGATGCTGCCCTTGCCATGAGCCTTCTAAAAGCTTCTGAAGTTACAAGAACACACAGCATTGTTCAGTGGGACAATTGCTGCTGGCAGAATGCAAACCTTGAGTTAAACCATGCTGCAAATTGATCTTGACATTCTGTTAAGACCGCCACTAAAATCAAAAGCAAAGGAGAAAAGGAGAAAATGAGCGGGTGGGATGTAATCATGGAACAGAAGGGTTCCCTCCTCACCTTCTTTCCTCTTCCTCCTCAAAACAAACCACACAGAAAATGACAAACTCGCCTGGTGTTTGAGAACCTTTATTTTTAAAACATTAATTAGACTTCTGACCTGTTTTTATTGACTGGCACTGTATTGCTATTAAAGCAAATTAAATAAAAAATTGCAGAATACAATAGAAAAGGTTTTCACACTGCTCTGTGAAACCTGTTAAGGATTTAGTGACTGAAGAACATGTCCAACAGTTTCTGTGGTCACTCCTGAAGAGGCAGTGAGAAATTAACTCATCTCCTCCCGCTCTCACAGACCCCACACCTGCAATATATTTGCTGAAGGATCAAATGGGATTGGGGACTGGAGTAATATGGTCAACTGGTCTTCATCCAGGCATGCATCATTCAGTAGGTTAGAATTAAGGGTCAGCAACTGTGAATATGGCTAATCACTTGATGACGGAAATTGCAGGTGAAGACAACCTGCTGCTGAGAAGCACTTTAGTGAATTAACTCTTTCCTAAGCTTAAGCAAAGTGAAAAACTATCATTTGAACATTAAAACTAACAAATACCTGTCATCAGAGCAAAATTGGCAACACATTGAAATACGGTGCCCAAGGGCAATGATATCAAAAGCTAAAAAGCTGCTACAGGTTTTTGAGTTGCTGTCTTGTGGTTTTGGCTTTACTTAACAAACACCATGTGTGCTGGAAAGCTCTTCATATTATGCATTATCTGTGTTTGTTAATGCTGTGTGTAGCAATATAAGGTGTGTGTGCATGTGTGTATATATATATCACTATACATCTTTCCTGGATACAAATGTATTAATGCACATTAATGAATTAACAAAACCAGTTAGGCATGTGTTTGCACATACACAACTCATGCACATAACTGTATTAAAACAATGATATTGACAAAAAAACGTGCCAGTACTAGAGCTGCTCATGCCTGGCTCTCCTGCTTGTCCATCCCAGAATCCCTCTGGAAACCTGAGGAACTGCCCAGCCCGTGATGGCCCAGTGCAGGTGTGTGCCTGGGCAGAGTGGCAGGGCCAGAACTGCCAGCCCCACTGCAGCCAAACCCCACTGCCACCACCCTGACACCTGCCCCCAAATTTCTCTGTCTGAAGGGCCATGGTAGCAATCTTCATTGCAAGCAATTGAAAGGAAACAATTATTTTTAAGCTCATGAGTCACCACAAATTGAGTGGAATATAACAAGAGCTAGAGATATATGTGTAGCTTAGTGGCCTTTTTCCTCCTTTGACAGGAACATACCACAAGAATATTTCGGAGTTGCTCCCTAAACTGAAGTCTAAGCTATAGGAGATAAAGATTTCATGTATATACCTTAACTATATTATAAAAACACCACATTATTTTCCTAAATGAAGCCTGCTTGTTTTATTTTCCCTTTCTTACAATTCTATTATGATTAATGAAAAAACTCATAATCACTGAACTTACTCAAAGTAAGGGAGCAATTGCTCCCTTCACTGCAAACCTGACATCAGAGGCAATTAAAACCCACAGAAGCCAAAACAAAACTTCCCCTCAACTGTATTAACTAGACTTTTCCTTCATTTTACAAAGTAACAGTCCTGTGTGCCTGCAGTAAGAAGTTTTTAGTATCTGACTCCCAAAGTTGTAATGCTTATGCTTTTGCACTGCTGCTGGCAGGTACCTAATGCTCTCACAGCATTTTACTCCTACCTACAGACTCTCTTAAATCTATTGGAATGGATATTGAAGATTGAGAGATTCCAGAAGAAATGTGCTATTGTACAGTAATGCAGGTTTTAAAGCACATTCCTGTACCAATGTCAGCCGACAAACACATTGAAAGTTGGGGAAAATGACATTAATTTGGAGCTGGTTTTGTTCCACAGTGTTCAGGATGGACCCTCATTCCATTAATGAGAAAATTTGAAACAGCTATTAGGACTAATTTTGGAATAGAATGAAATTTGTGGATCAAAGCATCAAGAAGGTTTTTATGGCTTATACAAGGAAAGTCTTTATAGCTGCTTGAATTTACTCATGCCATTCCACAGTACTGAAACCATGTCTTTTACTACTGACATTGAGGGGTCTCTGTTCACTGCTGTAAATCTAGTGGGCCTGATTCCTCTGCTGTCCCATCCTGGCTTTGCCAGCATTTTTACAATGAAATTATAAGAGTATAAATGAGCTACTCTTGGGCTACACCAGCAGGCAAAACCCAGTTCCTCCTGTTGCTGTTGTCTTCTCAGCATTCAAATAAAAAGCTACATTTAAGTGTGTTCATAGGGCTAGAGAACAGAATGGGCTCCAAGACCACTGTCACTGAAGCACATGAAGGGCAGTGATTGAACAGAGGGACTCAGCATTTATTTATGGGAATGCCCACAGTGCATTGGCACTTTCCAAAGGGAGAAAGAAGCATCGTGCCCCCTCTGAAGAAATCAGAGTCTGAGCAGGATGTGACACTAAACATAACTGAGAAATTATTCTAATTTGAGCCAGCGTGCCTTGTTTACCCCTTACTATTTTTTGACCTCACTGTTAATATGACAGTTTCTTTCTTGTTGGTAACAGAAAGCAAAAAAATGAAGGCTTAAAAACCCTATCGTCCAGCACAATCAGGGACTAAGTTCATTGAGAGCAGCTATAAAGCCTTAAACAAGCCCTTTATTTTGTGTTTTAAGAAGTGTCATAAGGAGTTAATAGGACACAGCTGTACAGGCTCTTTCTAACAAGCAGCTTCTGTCGCTTTGGTCACCACAGGTGTCTGTGTAACCTGCAAACTCTTATTACTAGTGTATCAAAGTTGTGCTACTTAATAGATTTCTTTAGTAAAACACAACAAAGCAATTACATGGCTGTTGATCGTTAGTCATAAAAAACCCCTCAAACACAGTTTTTCAAAAGAAACTACACCGCAATTTTTTGTCATTGTAAAATAAAAGAAACTAGTGAATTAAATAGAAGAGCAGACAATAGAACAGCAGGTAGTCAACTGAACTTAGCCACTACAGATGGTTTAGAAATAGTGTTTCCTTCTACACCAACTTGTGGGATAAAAGAAAAGGAGGAGGCTCCTTACTGCCCATGAATGGCAATACCAAAAGACTTAAGCAACTTTCCAGTCTATGTATTTAGTCCTATGAAAGAACCTACATGTTTCTTTTTCCTCTCTTACTTTTTTTCTTTTTCAGAAACTTTTAATCTGTTTTTGCAACTGCTTTTTTCCATAACCTTCTACACTTCTCTAGAATAACTCAAACTAGAAACAGTGCTGCTGATCCCTCCAGTGATAAAATGCAGAAGGTCAAGTGAGGAATTCCTGAGCAACACAAAGTGTCATTTAAAAAGCACATTAGAAAAAGAGACTACTCCATTCTCCAACGTCAGCTCAGTAAAAAATATTAACTATAATTTACATAGTGAAGACTAGAAATGCATAAATTCTCTAGTCTAATAATCCACAAGATAAAGAAGCATGAATGTATAATTTTCCTTGCTCAATAATCACTGGAATTGTGTGAAGAAGTGGCAACTTCATTCCAAGCCAAATGACTGCTGCATCTTTCAGTCAAAATTAAACTCTAATTATAGTAATATACATAGGATGTTATCCTGGCAAGACATGATCAGTCATCTTCTGGGTAAGTAAAAGTTATGAAATAAGGTCCAACTTAGAGAACCAAACAAGCCTGACTTTTAAATGTTATAATGATAATAGTAATAATAATATCATTATTTTCAGTAGATCATGATCAACTGATAAATAACTAAAGAAGAGAAAGGCCTTGGTATTACACTAAGGAAATCCGTTGGTAATCTACAGAAGTTGTAGAAGGAGGTAAAATCTACAGTTTTAATTTCTTTACTCATCAGCAAAATTATGGTCTCTCAAAGACATAAGATAGCTTTTATTATACTAAAACGAAAATATCTGAACATTCCCAAAGGAATGTTCTGTAGGAAACTGTAGTTCAAAAAAGTACATATGAATTGCAAGTGTTTAACATTTTGCATAACCTGTTCTTAATACTAATTTATCACATGAATGTTATTTTTTAAATAAGATTTTCATTAACAACAACAGTTATTACCCCAGGCAGCTCTTGTGCAGTTACACCAACATACACACCATTAATGCCATGTAATATCACGGCACTGCAATGCATAACTGTGAAGGCACATGTTTGAATATAGAATTACGTTTGAAAATAAACTGGAAAAAAAAATGAAATAGTTTCTTCAATTACTTTTTCCTGCACAGGAATAAGTCACTTTTTGATGAACACAAGGTCAGCCCAATAGTCAATGAATGTCAGCCAGCACAGCTGCACAGCTCAGCTGAGAATGAGCATGACATTTTAGCTCAAACAGACATTAAGCACCAAAAGATCTGATAGCCAGAGATAAGGGCCTTCCTGAGAAAAGCTGCCCCACTCAGAGTCCAAAGAGTCTTACCTTGCTCTGTTTGCTTCTTTTGTCATGTCCCATGCCCAGGTTATGAAGTTCTGACTCAGGTAGGAGACAATGGATTCAGCACAAAGCATTTGTGAGCAGAAGACGTTGGTTAGTACACTTTCATCATGGTGGAGGTAGATAGCAAGAAGCTTTCTCTGGAAAAAATGTGACAAGTGATGAGTGAAAAGTTCCTGAGGCAATTTACAATTTAAAGTTGCTGCTGCAGATTTGTGTTTTAGTACTCCCAATGGGGTTTATCAAGGGTGACAAGTATCTCAACACAAGAAATAATCAGAAGATTTCAAGTCAAATGGTGTAGCCCTGCAAATTTTTAAATATTCTCAATGCTTCCAAATATTTTGAGTATTAAAATACAATATATTATGTGCTTAGAACATGAAAAGAACAACAAATGAACAACAAAAACCTTATTAACATACCTAAGAAATTAGTGAACTTCTTTGGCTTGTTGCCCAACAAAAATAATATTTCTATGAACAAGGAACATGCCTCTTGTCTGGACAGCATCTACCACAAAAAATAATTATAAACAACCTGAAGAAAATGATAGTGCATTGCTATCAGCACCTCTGTAGCCAAAAAAGAGAGGCAGTACATGTTGAGATGGTGTCTACGGTCTCTTGAAACAAAATATTCTTTGCTGTTCTTCTGGAACCCTATCAAGTTAAACTTGAGCTTCACTGCCAGCAGCTGTGTCCCAATGAAAATCTCAGAGCACCTCTTGGAAAACCAGTCTGTGTGCATGTAAATATAGAAAGCAGGCTGCAAATATAGAGGGAGACTATGAGCTAGCTAAGGACTGTGATTCTGCAACTGGCATTCAATGAATTATAAATATAATTCAGAAAATTACAGCTTTCCATTCCCCCATACCCATATAAATTACTTTATTTAAAATAGTTCTTGAACATATTTGCTGAGATGATACGGTGCTATTTTCAGTATTTTATTTAAAGTAATTTCAAATCTCTTCATCAGAAGTAACACTGAACCCTAGATATTGATGTGTATTGATATAGCAAGACATGGGATGCAATTTCCAGATAAGCTGTCTTTGCAGAAAGCCCCTGTAGGGCTCTCGCCTCATATACTGGCTTTCGATAAAATTTAATGACTGTTTATAAAAGGAACATTTGAACATTCAACTTTGGGAAAGGGATTAGTAATTTGCATTACTGTTTGTCTAATTTAATTTAAATGTTCTTCAGAAACACGTACACATGTGCCAGGAAGGGCCATTAATAAGCCCAACATGCAGAGATCCATATAAGTGCAGCCAACAATGTTGACTGAAACTAAACTTGAAAATCCAGGGCACTGATGCACAATATCATGCAATAAAACAGCATTTCTGTGGTGATATTTAATTTAAAAAGAAGAAAGAGGCAGGGGAAGATCAGGCACTGTCTGTTTTTGAGGATCAGCCGCTCTGCATTTCAAAGCGTCGATCCCTGCAATATCCAGGTTACTGTGCTAGAATCTCAACTATTATATAGCAGTTGTAAGAGAGGGAGGGCAAAGATGTGTTTACTCAGTGATTAGGGCCTTAGAATAAGCCTCTAGCTCCTAGAGAGACAGCTCACCACTTATTCATTTGGACCAATTCACAAAGCCTAGAAAGATTAAACATCCATGCTGAGAAGACAAGCGAATGCAGACGGTGAAAAAGAAATAAAAATTCTTTAAAAACTCTGAGATGACTTCATTATTTTTTCCACAAGGAAACTTTAGGAAAGTGTTTAGTTAGAGAAAAACCCACATTGACCTCTCTCTAAACCCTTAATCTTTCCTTTGTGGTGGCACTGCTTTGTGGTAAGCGGATGGCTTTGCTCTCCTCTTTTCACTGGGAGCGGACAGAAAAAAAGGCTCTTGAGAAACACTTTTACTTCCAAAGAAACAACCCCATGAAACTGTTAAATATGAGATTCCGTACAACAGAATGTTTCAAAATATGTACAGTTTTAGGCTTAAAGATTTAGGGACAAATTTCAGTAAACAGAACAGGCGCAAACACAATGGAGGTTTACACTGACTTACTTCCCAAGGGAATGTAATTTTTGTTGCATCAACAAATCTTAACCATGCAAAGACTAAACTCCATCACATACAAAAGACTATACTTGTATCTCTTAGCTCATCCAAAATGTTAAGGGTGGGCACAGGCATAGTGCTATCATAAATGCAAAGAGGTAGCAGGAGGAACTGAAGTGCTAAAACATTATTTTGAAAAATATTTGTGAAAGCCAGGGGCATTTTTTCCTTGGAAAAATGCATGATTGCAAAAGGCTCAGAGCTTGAAGTTTGTTGTTGTTGCTGCTGCTGTGTGGGTTTGTTTTCATGTTTGTTTATTTTACTAACCCATGTTAGCACATATTTATAAGCAAGTTTTGGTTGTGTTTATTTCAAGCCTTGGAAAAGTCAGAGTAAATTCTAGGATTGTATTATGACTAATACTGAGTATTTTGAAGTGAATTTTGAACTATTAAAACAGCCTTACAAAACTGCTCAACAGTCTCAAAATACACAAAAGAAGCCTAATAATGGAGCACTAGATTGTTCTGTGTTGGAATTTCAAAAATATGACTCAGAGGTTATATACTTAGCATGAAATTTTAATTTTTAAAAAATACAACAGGGAAGAACTTTTACTAGTCCCTACAAAGGTATGGGATACCAGAAAGGTTTTAAGCACTGAATATCGGATGGACTTCCAAAGGCCTTAGGACTTAAGGGACTTAAGCCACCAAGGGATGCATTTTTCAGAGTATGTGCATGCTGAAGACCAGGCATTAAAGCTCCAGAGAAGTTAACACATTTGTACAGAATTAGAAGAAAAGTTGTCACTGAGGCAAAAAAACCTGTAGATCTTGAGATGACTAAATTGGAAGCAGTGGGTAATGGCATTTTTAAGCTTCTCAGCCAGTTCCTAATACTGTGAATAACTCAGATAACTCGAAAGAATATGAACTTGAATGGGAATAGGAATGCAATCATAAGGGTCAACAAAATCACAAACCTGAATGGTTATTTCTGAATCTCAGGTTTACAAGTTCAACTAATGACTGAGACAGAAAAGTTCATGATGTGACAGCTGCTAGAGGCATCAATGTTCTGTCAAACTGGTAGGCTAAGAAATCAAAATCTTATTTTTTTCTCCAGGTTTTATGCAGTGAGAATTAATTTAAATAAACAAAGGGACACATTTGCACTTCTTTAAATCTTTGAAGTGCACAGTGTGATCCACCTGTCCAACGTGATCTTAGAGTTCATGGGATCAGCCTTGGACACAGCTACTTTACCTAGCCTTGTAGAAGACATCTGAAAAAAACTGTATCCCACAGGTTCCTAAAGTAGGAGTGAGGTGATCTCTGCAAACTTCTGATCCCATATTTTGTATTAAACGTGGCACAAGGCATCCCCAAACTAGCTCCCAGTTTAAACTTCCTGTAATTTTACCTTTCAGTAAAACACCTAGTCTCAAAAATCCATCAGTGATGAAGAATCCACAGGACCAGTGGTAAGGTGCTCAAACAGCTACCCACTTTCCCAGGTAAAGGTGTGTTAAAGCCTGCTTTAGTCTACTTTCATCTTCCAAATATTTGATCCTATTATACTGCTGTGTCTCCATTTCAATCAATTGCATCTGTAGTGGTAGCTTACATAATGCAAATAGTATCCAGTAATTAACACCAAAGTCAGGTAAGATCTACAATCACAAGCTTTGAAAGAAGAGAAAATGTAGAGTGAGGCAGACAAGTTCAAAAAACTTCCATTATTTAGTAACAAATAAAGAGGAGAGACCCATACCTGGGAGCAACCCTCCAGATATGAAAGAAGCTACTCTTTAGATATTGAAAATGAAGGGTGTGTAGGCAAACAGTGAAGCTATTAAATTGGTGTTGTAGTAGAAATTTCTAAACAATAGTTATCCACAAAGTCAGAAATAATTTACAAATTAAAGGACAGAACTGCTAACACACACCAGGCAAGACTGGAAAGAAAATAGTGACTAACATGGGACTTAATTGGAGTTTATGTACTGATATTTATCATAGTGCAGCTGCTTCATCTTCCTGAAAAGCTAGAGTTATACTTCTATACCTGTCCTCCAGTTTCAACCAGACCATGTCCATAACCAGTGGTCAGGTTATTTACGTTTAATCAGAATCTGTTAAGTGGTAATTCCTCCAGGTGCAATCTGTAAAAAGTTCAGTATAAACTTATTGAGCTGAAATAATAAGGGACATTTTTCTGAGTTACACAGATAAAAATGATGCTATAGAAAGCCCTGTATGAAGGAATATCCTGCTACCACCAAGGAAGAGGGGAAAAAATAGCTTTTATTTGAACACACCAAATCATGGAAGGAGCATACTTTGCTCTAGGTATTCAGGAAATAAAGAACCCATATGTGAGAGGGATGGTGCTGCTTCTAAATTGAACCTAAAAGACAGAATTCAAGGAGAAGAAAAACACGGTTCATTTTCAGAATGCAGGAATATATATTGAGGTGACAATACCAATCTGTGCTAAGAGAGATGTTTCACATATTTATTAAAAGTCAGTGGACAGAAAGGTTGAGAGAGGAGCAGGAGGTGAGCTGACAGAGGTATATAAAGATAAGAGCTCCTGAAAAGGCAAAGGCAATGTCTTTATTCTTTCTCTTAATAAAAGAGTAGCAACCACCTACAAAAATGAAAAGACAAACAAGCTCTAATAAAAGAAAATACAGTAGTATTACTCACATATATAACTCAGTAAGCTTCGATAGCAATTAAAATCCAGTATTACTAACAACACGACCATAAATTAGGATAAACCCTCTGATGTCTCAGAAGGCAAGACACCCACAAACTGCCTTCAGACACAAAGACACCTTACCCAAACACCTTGTTAAAAATGTCTATTACAGGATTTTTTTCATGGCATCAGGTGTAGCAACTCCTAGGGCAGTGTAGCCCTGTAGCAAGAGTAAGCCCATTCTTCAGAAACTTATTGACAGTGAAACTCTTCTTTCCAATAGACAGAGGAAGACTTACAAAAAACCCAGCTTAACTGCTGATTTAATAAACCTCTGACTCTCTTTCTCTTCCTGACCCCATTAAAGGAAATACTGAAAGTATTTTCTTGTCATATATACAATAAGAAATGAAAACACAACACCCTTACCTATCAGGCTGCTGGAGGCAGCTGGGAATTCCATGGCCAAGGACACTGGCTGATAAAAGCAAGGCTCCATATCTTGGCTATTGTATTTTTGTAGTCAAGAGTTATACAGGTTTTAAAGCAGAGCCACATTTGACCTCATTCCACCTCTCCTACCAAAAACTGGCATTGTTGTGGCAGCAGTTGCTCCAAAGGTTAAAAGATACCCATCATGTATGCTAATCTTCACTGGCTAATGACTCAAACACAGCAGATAAACACCTGAACTTTGTTAAAAGGTATTTCCTTTTCAAGCAACATTTTGTTAAATAATTATGAATTACCATCCTTTCCAACACATGAAAAGACAATGAGATTTAACAGCAAACATCTATTTTCATAAAAAGAAACTGAACTCATATTCTGCATTCAAAACACATGTTCTGACATAAGTTAATTTTCTTTAAATAACCCAAATGAAAATATTCCTGGAAAAAACCTTCATGTTTATACACATTGGGCTTTTTTTTTTTTTTTTTTTTGAGGTAAAAAGTATCCACAATACAGATTTAAAACACAGCTGATGGCTGTCTCACTAGACATGAACTGCAGAGTGCACCTTCTGCTCTGGACAGAGTTGAGAATTTGTCAAGAAAAGGCCAAGATCTCTGAGCACTCGAGCTGCCAAGTGCTCTCAAATTAAATCAGTTTGAAGCGGTTTTCATTAAGATGGATTGAGTGTGGCATCGTGAGAAACACTCTATCAAATGTAGTGTTTTACTTAGTGATTAAGTATATACCAGTTGATGAAGCTGCCCAAATCCTTCGTAATCCCACCACTCCAATAAACATTTAATGAGTATATAAGTTCAAAAAGCCTAGTAGAGGATTTAAACCTTCAATCTTGTTTTTATTTACTCTTGGAACTCAATTTCTCACTTCAAGTGAAGAATGCTGGTGCCTGCAGCTCATCTGTTGCCCTGGTAAAATTAAGTGTCCTCCATAGTATATATTAGAAGATGAGACACACAGGTTGCAATTTCTCCAAAGCTTTTTTTTTTTTTATACTGATATATATTTTAAAATTTATTTTAGGAAATTAAATTATAAAAATATGAAATAATGTATCCCTTTCCTCAATTCTGAATTCCAGGAGCCAGTACTGAAATAATTACTTTGTAACAGAGAAAATCAGTGAAAACATATGGTATTTCCACATTCTCATATCTTTGCTTAAAATCAGAATGTTACATTAAAAATTATGCCTTTCCAAATGTGGGAGGGAGAGCTTTCAAAATAAGGCAATATTCAGAAAAAACCCCAACAATCCAAACAACACAAACAAAAATTAATACTCTACTAAATACAAGTATATATATATATATATGTATCAATGTGTGTGTGTGTGTATATATATATATATGTACACAATGGTTTTATTGTGATGATAACCTGAATAAATGATGAAATATCAAAAATGTAAAGTGAAATGAATTTCAGAAGTGGTTTTTAAGTAGCACAAGAAGTATTTTGAACAACAAAAAACTAAGTAACTGCACTTTGAGCAACAAAAAAACTAAGTAACTGCACTGCATAAATATCAGACTTATAGTTAGAAAACTGTTTATGAAAGTTATGAGCTTTTGTCCACTATTACACTGTCAACCATTTCTGATATGACACTAAATGAACTTCCCAACTCACACCCTTTCCTTGTTCAATTCACAGGATTTTTTTCTCTGTGCAAAGACATGAAAATATTCACTAAACTTAGAGTGTTAAGTATGTGTTAACTTCAGCTATATAGTGTGGATTTATAACTCTCACACTTATCAGAACAGCCCCTAACATAATACAGAGACTCCTTCCAATATGAATAACCACATTCTTCATTTTAAAATTAAACATCTATCAAGAAAACAATAAGTAAATTTAAAGAGCATGATTTTCTTGTTTGTGTTTCAGCTTTATCTGTGCTTAATTATGCAGGGTTTTGGGTTTCTCCTTAGTGAATCAAGTCACCAAAACTTAAATAAACTGTCCTCATTCTAATTTTATTAAAATACTGATTTTAAAACTGTGCATGGAATAACAGAAACTTGAGATGCCTGGTTGGATGTACAGAAAAACTAAACAACCAAACCTTAGTACTGGAACTTACTTGGCAGATAAAGGCTGTACAAAGGGGAAAGAAAAAGTACACTGTATTTGAGAGCGCTTCCAATTTAAATTTACAATTTCATTAGGCATTCTTCAAAGGAGTTACCAACATGCAACAGTGAACTTGTCAACCACAAGACTCACAGGCAAGGTTATCTGGTGCTAGGACACCATTATTTCAGGAAGAAAAGGGAGGAGGGGAAAAGAAAAAGAGTAGCTTTGACAACTAAAGAGCTCCAGTAAAAATACAGCCTGAATGATTAGAGAGCATCAGTTATTCACTGCAATTTCAGCAACCACCAAGGTAAATCTTTTAGTCAGTCAACTGAATGAGTGCAACTCTTCTAGAACACTAAAAGCAAAATAACTACAAAATGTAGCTCAGCTTTTCAAAAATCAAGATGAAAGCCCTAAGGTGATTTCCATTCCCCCAGTATTTTAAATAAAGTGGTTTTAATACACACTTACATCTCTTGCTTTCCCATAGAAGGCTTCCTGAAAAGCAGCCTCTAATGAGCCAATAAAATAAACAGGATGGCAGTCACCATATCTATTTGAGATAAAATTTCCAATTAATAAAAAAGGACAAAATCAAGTAATTCCAACATTCTACCTTTTCATATATTCTGTAAATATAATGCATTGGCTATACCTTTATAAAGATGAGTATTATATTTCTAAAGGACAGAAAGAAAATATTTAGGACCCATTTGTTTTCTGGCATTGAAAAACTCAAAAGTAATGACCTACTACATTAAAAACTTTATCATAAAAACATTCTGATTACACATGTAGATACCTTAAGTTCTACACAATTTTCTGTAAAATTTCCACCAAATTTTCAAATTATTTCCTTTCTTTATTATATTCTTAAAGCTTAATTGAAGGCTATTCCTCTATTACACAGTAATGCATCTCATACACATGAAGGAATATTTCATCACTGGAGTGAAAACAGAAAACAAATAAACTTTGCATTACTTTGCAGCTTCTACCTATTCAATGAAACAAGCAACTGTTTAACAGTGCATGATCTGGTAGGATAAATTTTTTTAAAATCCAGAATATCTCTGTTTTTTAAAAGTCAATATTTACCCAAGCACTTTGCTATTGTGAAAACTCTTACAGCAACTATGTATTTATTTTTCAATATTAATCAGTTTCAGCTTTTCTGTTCCTGCATATCACAATAAAATTATCAGATATAACCAGTCTTTTTCATCCTTATGGACCATTACATATTTAAGTAATGGTACTACATAGGGACAAAATCAATAGCATCAAGCACTCCAGCTTGGGCTAAGAAATAATTTTATTTCAGAAGCAGTTCTACCAGCAGAATTAGAATATAAATAAATTAGATTAGGATGTCTAAATATGCTATAATCTCACAAGAAAGCATGTAGACTTGGTTTATTCTTATTTTCATTATTTACTAACTTTAACTGGGTTTGTAATAAGAATTGCACAGTTAACAGGCTAAGCTTACCTTGAAGAAAACTCTGCTGTAAATTGTAATAAGGCATCTCCTTCATTTTCAGCATTTTCTGGCACTTAAAAAATGGGAAAAAAAAATAAATGTAACTCTATGGAAACAGATTGTAATATGCAAATACATTCACTTCACAGGTATTTCATGTTCCCAGCTTACTGAAGTGTTACCAAGAAAGCATATAAACTTCATGAAGGACTACTGACTACGAACTTTTCAAAAGACAAGAAATTTCCAGAGGGTCTCATGAATATATTCAGGTTTTCCAAAGAGTAAAATCCTCAGGTCCAGTGTAATGTGATATATCCTCTGCTCAGAGTTTGCACTCTGGGCTTTAAGGCTTGAAAGGCTCAACCCTTCCTACCCATAATGTTAAAAAGTTTTCCATATTATTATTTCCATATTAAAAAACTTCTAATGAAGTAACACTAATGCAACTGTAAAGTAAATAAAGAGTATGCAAGAATTGCATGTAGGAGGTAACTGACTGCTCCTGCTCAATTCTTTTCATAATTTAAGGGCAAATAACCACTGAGAAGTTTGATTAGCATAAGGAATAAAATATTAATCAAAAATACAATCTGTAGAATTTTCAAAACAGGAAAGTGAAAATCTAGTTATCTACAGGTACATTTGGATAGAGATCACAATATCTCTGACTTTATTTGTTACTCATCAATTTTAAGTTCAATTATTATTCTTCATTTGCAAAGTTAAAAAATTTCCCTCCATGGAAAAATGCTTTTATAGTTGCCAGTTATGTGTGTAGTAGTTTCCTTTGGTACATCCATCAGACATGACATTCAAACAATTCTACCATTCCTATTAAAAATACTTCCCAGTTTCTAATTCTGCAGACCCCTCCCACCTCTCTGCCTTCACCTCTGCTGTACAACCTCCAGTAAATTGTAACTCTTACTCATTGGCGATTTCCTCAAGGCAGATGAAGCTACTCCAAACATTTCTCCATCATCAACTCCAAACTCAGTAGCATCTTCAAAGTCATCTCCATCACTATCACTAACCATATGAACATCAGTGCATTGCTGTATTAAAACAAAACCCAAAATCCACTGTAAGCTTCTATTTCAGACATTTTCAGTGAAATACAAAATACACACACAGTGTATTTTGTATTTTAAATACAAATACACATAATACACTGCAGTTTAATTTACTATTTTATACAGCATTATCAAAGGTAACAGTTGAGCAAATTTTATCCAAAGTTAATGCTGTTTTCCATCTAATGGTACCAGAGCTGGTCTAACTGCATAGAAAGAGGGAGAAAATCCACACAATGTTGGCTTTTATATTGGTATGGAATACCCATATAAAGGAGAAAAATCAAGATTTTAGTGCAAAGAGCTAAGGTCATCTCCCCCAGTCAGATGCTTTGCTGGGATTTGTTTCCTTTCTTTTTCATCTTGTTTTTCCATGACTCCTTTGCCCAGTTCCTCACTTTGTCACAACTGCAGGAACTGTAAATGGATTGATGTAAGATGCAATTCTATTGACACACCACAACAGGAGGGATGGTGACCACTGCACCCTGAGGTGTCCCTGCCTGCTCCTAGAGCAGACTGGTAACACAAAGATCATGTCCTTACCTCCTCTGACTGCTCCCTTGTTTGTACAGGTGAGGATCTTCTTCCAACTGTGAGTCGATGGCAAGGAAAAGTCACTCCCGACACAGCTAAAGTCATCTACAAAGCAAGCAATGGTTCTTCATTAAAGCCACAGTCTCAATTAAAGGTTGGGGGAAGGGTTTAAGGTTGTTTAGACATTCAAATTAAAGACTGCATTATTTAAACAAATATTAAGAAGCCTGAAAAACTAAAATTATTCCTTACACTAAAATATTACTGAGGTGTATGCGCAGAGTATCAAAACAAATTCCATGGAACTGCAAACTGCAAAGGGACTTGAGTTATTATTTTCTCCTGAAGCAGTATTGAAGTTTGAAACATTACCGTACATGGCAACTTTTGCAGTGCTATGCATTGATGATGCAAATGTAGATTTTTTTTTTTTTTGCTAATCAAGAAGCAATTGTTAAATAAAGATGCTAAGTACTGATACAAGTAATTAAAAACAGTTAAATCATCGTGAAAAAAAATTGTGTTTTGAAAGATCTGTTTATCAGCACACATTGCAATAGACACAATCACATTGGCAACATAAAAAATACATTTCAACTAATTTTTGGTCATTTAAAATGTCACGGGTGCACACCATGTTCCTCATTTGAACAAAGACACACAGCCCAAACTGCTGACACTGCAGTCAGCACAGTCCACAGGATGAATGTCCAGCAGCCAGTGCCAACAGAACAGCACTTCTGCCCTTTGCTGTATGCCTAAATCTCAACTATTAAGAGCTACCAATAGAAAAATTCTACTGTCGTTTGAAAGACAAAATGATTATGATGCCTGCAAACACAGAGCAATAATATTTGAAAATATGATCTCATATACATTTTAAAATGCACTAATTATAATGCCTAGAAATGAGAACTGCCCACTCTGTGACCAGAACCACCTGTGCCATCCCTACCTTTAAAGCTTCTGCCCACCCTCCTGCCTCTTCTGGAAAGCACTTCAGTCCAGGAGAAGCAGCTGGATGACCACAAATGGCAATTTCAGAAGCACCCAAGACCTATCTGGACCGATTTTACAATGTGAGTAGCTCTTAAATGAAGATAATTGATTGGTTTGGGGAGGGAAAAAGTATTTAATGCTATGCAATTTTTAGTGATGTGGAGAAGGGTAGTGTTGGCTGTATGTTTAAAGCATCTTTTGTAATGGTTCCTTCAGATGAAACACAGAGAGGACAGAAAAACACCTAGATCCTGTAAAACTTATTAGTATTTTTGCAGGGCACAGAACAAAATATTTACATTATACATTTCAGAAATACAGCACTCTCCTAATTGGACTATAAAAACATTAAGGTAAAATACATTTCAATCATTCTCAACAAAAATCCAAGAATAAATCATAAGCCTTAAATTTCATTTACTGCCATGAGCACTGAAAATACCCCATTTATTTTTTATACATAATTCAGAGCGACTTTCTCACTTATCTGCTAGAACTCACAGAGATTTAATTTGCTGCAGGTTGAAGCAGGCTGATTAAGCAGGCTGGTTACCAAATGAATGTTAACCTGTCTGAACTAGCCTACTGTCACATTCTCACAGCAAGGTTAAACACAAGTTTAGCTGTGTAAAAAGCCCAGCAATCGCCTTAAAGGAAGTGAGTTTTAATACTCTGGAGTAAATGAAATATTAAAGACGACACCCAGGTCTAGACCAATTACCTGTGAAACTCCTGTGACAAGAGAGCATAAGAACTGCATTCTCTGCCATAATCCACCATTTCAATTATTATTTTTATAAGCTTCTAATAATAAACAAAATCCAACTGTTATAAAACCTGAAACTTTGCCCTGTAGTTATCACACCATATGAAATGCTGGTAAAACACACAAACACCCACGTGAGCCACACACAGACCACAGCTCCCCCTCTCACAGCATCAAATCCCCTGACAGATGCCTGGAAAGGCTCCCGGTATCTTTTACGTGCACATTAAAGAGAGAGGGGTAAGATCAAGCAGGCAGTTATTGTGCTGCTTCATCACTTGGCCCAATTGCAGGGTGTTGCAATTCCAATTTGCAACCCTATATTATAGTGTCAAAGCGTCTCTCAAACACCAGCTAACAGCAGAAGGGGTTCCACATCAGAGCCTGTTTCATCCCACTCTCCACACAGTTGCTGGAATGTTGGGGGTTTGTGCACATTGGTGTGAGAAATCACTCTTCTCTTTTGCCTTTTTTTTTTTTTACTTCTGAGAAGTTTTTGGTTTTTGTTTTTTGGGGTTTTTTTGCAAAAGAAATAGAAGTTCTGCCTTCATTCCAAAATAAACAACAGGCATCAACATTATTCTAGAATAAAGTTATCTTCATTCAAAGACAGAGAGTTCCCCTGCAAAGACAGATTCTACCACCACAAAAGTTCAAGTTCTATTCTGGAAATCATAAAAACACCAAGACTAAGCAAAAGATTGTTTTCCAGGCAGCTCAACAAATCCTTTCCTAGTGTTGAGAATGCAAGGTACTGATGGGAGCACAACTGAAGTGTCTCAGTGGCAAGAACTGTAGACCTCACACCGCTCTAGGAGAGGTTTTTCTTTCTGAATACTGCACCTGCCCCTCCCAAACAGAGATGCAGAAAATTAACATTGCAATAAATTATCATTATTTCAGCCACCTTCCCATGGGAGTGGACAAAATCTTTATACCAACCCCACAACTGAACCAAACCCAAAACCAGGTTTGTAACCAGAGTACCTGATTACCCATATTCTCTAGCTAATGAGCCCATCTGGCTGAGAAAAAACCCAAAAGTCACTCACTTTTCTAAATTTTTCTCTTTTTTCATGATCACCACTATGTGGGTAGCAGAGCTTGATTGGGATGGCTTCCACATGCTCAAGAAAAGACACTGAAAATGTATTTGCAGGACTTGTGCATGAATGACAAGCCACGTATAGGTTATGAAAGAAATAATATACTAAAACAAAAATAAATAAGATTATTCTATTTGTTTAGGCAGGGAACCTATGCTTGTGCAAATCAAACTGTCTCAGAACTGAAAGGTACATGAGGTAGAAAGTGAAACAAAATCAGAAATAAGGAAAATAGCTTGCAAAAAGTAACTCCAGAACCAGATCTTTTGTTCAACACTATGTAGACATTGCTTGTGCTTATTTAAAGTTGAAGTAATCTCCTATTTGGCTTCCTGTAGCTTTTAAGGAGAAGGAAAATAAAATTCAAGATTTCAAACATTTCAGGGAGAGTGACAGCAGGAGAGTCTCCTTTTAGGAAACAGCAGAGATACTAAACGGATTCAACAGCTCTGGGATTCAAAAAGGTAAGGGTATAACCTGGACTAAAAGTGCACAAAAGGTTACTTGAAATAGATTTTAACTACTAAGAGAAAGATCACTACATAATCTTACAGTTTACAGAGGAAAGAAATAGTCTGGTGCTCACTTGTGCTTTCCAACAGTAAGACACTAATACTATTTGTAAATGCTCAGTGTGAGATGATTTGTTTTTCAATTGCCAGCATTAGCAATCGAGGGATAAAGTTAAGCAACATCTTTTCTGATCCAAACATGCAGGATTCTTTGTCAACCTTCCAGATTAACCCAGAAATATCTGCCAAATCTGGAGTGAGATCAGATGCTTTAAACAATAAATTATTCTTCATGTTATATTAATTTTATATAGAAGCTTCTATAAATATAATTCCAAACCATCTAAACCCACTATTTTTCCCCAAATATTTCATGATACAAATATGTCTGCAGGAGAGAAAGAAATCATTGAGAGCATTTAATTCCAGAGTGCTGCCATTTCATGCTCAGAATAATATGAAAAATTACAAGCCCATAATCTCAAAACCTTGTATCTTCTAGAAAGAATTTGTTGGCACAACTTAATTCCCACTCTTGCAGATTTCTGACATTACAAATGAAGAAACAAACTCAGTCTCCTGTAGCAGTCCAGAGATATTTAATCAATATGCTGAAGGTGTGAGAAAGATAAACAGTAGAAGGAACATGAAGGAATGATACCAGCAGAGAACTCCAGCTGCAGATTTCACTCCACTGAGAAATGCTGATACAAAAATTATAAGCTCAGTGGACTGTATCAGGAAAGGAGTAATTGGATATGACAAATTGGTCTTCCTTGTGTTCAGCCACACACTGATGGAGAAAAACAGCATCTCAAGAGAGATTTGAATGGCAGCCATACCTAATGAGGAAAGTGAAGGAAGCTGTAAGAGCCTTCTAATGCCTTACAGAATATAGCTGGGACACCAAAGTGTCCAGCTTAAGGCAATAATCTGTAAAGAACAGAACATTCCTCCTCATCCTCAATTACTGAGAGCTAGTGCTGGTCACAGGATACTTGCCATCAAGGGATCCCATCTCTGCAAAGGGATAAAGCTTTTTGTAAACAAGAACTATTCAGAACAAGCAGATATAATGTTTAAGGAAAGCAGGAATATTGGTTTATTCCGTGCTTTTTGTTATGATTTTGATTGTTAGAAGAGCAATGAGGGTTTTGAGATTTTGGAGTGTATGGGCACTCTGATTTGCTTTAATGTATATTAATGCATCTATCTGAACCTACAGACACTTACCTGTTAATCAGGGCAAGTTACTAAATGGAGCCTTCAGCTATATTACCCAGTACTTGTCAATTTTAAAGAAAACAGCTTGTAGCTGTTTAAAAGACCACTGAAAAGGAGAAACTGTTTCAGTCACTACAATGAGGTAATTTTATTTTCAAACTACTCAAATGACAAATTCTTTCCAACTCCCTGGAGAGGTATTTTTCCATGACAAAATATTTTCTAATACCATTTTTTTGGCATAAAGGAGAGATTCTTGATAATTTGTTCTTAGAAATTCAAAGGTCAAACTGTAAATCTTACAAAGCATCAGAGAGAAATTCTGAGAACACCTGATCCACACACACAGGAGAAGATTCTATAAATGGTGCCAGATTTCACTTGCACACACACAGCAAGTGAAGCAACAGGCATTACCTGACAATGGCAAGCCAAAACCAAAACCTTGCAGTGGACAATCCTTCTGGAGTTTTAATATAAAAAGATCCTAAAAAGAAA